TACAATTAGAAGGAAACTCAAGATGGTGTAGTTGCACACTTGGAAGATAGCCCATAAAGTCTGTCCTCATCGAGAATAGGATTGACTACCAATTCTGAATATTGTAACACTCAAAGAGAGAATTTCAAGAGCAACCTGATATCTCACACCTATTACCAGTTCTCTAGTTCATCAATGTCAAACGTACAGAAAGAGCAGAGAAGAGAACCAACCCTGTAAATGTAAAGAGACACGTGGTGGACTCTAGGTACCTCTCCCCCAAAAAAAACAAAAAAACCATCACCACCCAAAAAACAATGAAATCCACTAAGTAAGATCGCAAGATTTAATGACATCCTTTGCAAAACAAGCCTACTTAACAGAAAAAGATTGTTGTCTTGAACAACAATTTGTCAAAGAAATGGAGAAACTCAACAAATTTAATAAGCTATTGCAGACCATGATTTGCTTAATAGAGAAATCATAAAGATATTGGATGCCGCTTGTCACCCAAAACAATAAGAATAACTTGTCTCCATGCACAAGCCAGTGAAACAATGCCTTGAAACATTGTTATGCCAAAATGAGAGAATACTAACTAAATTATCACTTTCTATTAACATTAACGATTAATGAGGCAGTACAAGATTCTAAAACAGCAAGTTGGATTGATGGAATTGCAAGACATGAAGGTTACATTCAATTGATTAAAGGTCACCCGTCCAAAAGGTTCTCTACAGAAGAATTTAATAAAGATATTAAAAAGGGAGCTTCAAACTCTAATCACCATGGATTTATCTGAGTTATATTGAGCTACCATAGCAAAATTAAGTTCAGCCTTTCAACAGTGAATTCAGGATGAAAATGTAGCATATACTCTAGCACAACTTTGGATCAGGTATAGTATATGCCCTCTTGATCAGAGGAAAAGCTACACGTAGCATATACTCTAGCACAACTGTTGTATTATCAGTCCAGAAACCTATGGTTGTTCTATATTGAAGCATTTTGATACTCACTAGACTGGAGTTTCAGTTAGTCAAGGAGGGAGTTAGGAAAACATCTGCATCATATCTATGTTGAAGACAGCTGATTGTTCTCTATTGATAAAGCAGAGAACAGAAGAGAAAACACATCCATATAGCAAAAAGAACTGCAAGGTGCGATCAAATCCATTAGCAACATAAACATTCTTATTAAACGAAAAGTTATGGCTTGTGGGCTAGTGGTCAATGAAGCTAGAATAGACAATGGCAGACCGGCGTTCAAATCCCAATAGAGCAAAAAAAAAAAAAAAAAAAAAAAAAAAAAAAAAAAAAA